ACGTTGCTGCGCTGAAGGAAGAGTGGAAAGAGCTGACGGAGTGGGTGGAGAGTGCCAAGCGTGAGTTGGAGGATAGCAGGCGCAGCTATGCCAAGGAGCAGAGTGAGCTACAGGAACAACTGGAGGTGGCTGAAGACAACGGCAAGGAGGCACGTGAGTTACGCGAGTGTTTTGAGCGTGAGAACGAGGAGCTTAAGGACCTCAAGCATGACCTTCAACAGGTGTTGATCTACGCTCGTGTACGCCACCGCGAGGAGTTTGTCTAAGCTGAGAGGGATACGGTTGTGGTTTTTAATGACAGTACGGAAGAAAGGGAGAACAGCGAGGCTCTACTGCGTCTTTTGTTTGCTGCTGCAAAGGCTCTAAACCCCAATATAATTTTTTGTTTCAAGACGCTGCTGAGAACATTATTTCAATGAGGACTGTAACTTTGTTATTTTAGTCTTTCAGCAGTATTTATGAGCGTGGTTGATGGGGCCCATGTATGCATCTTTTTTTTTTTGTGTGTGTGTGCGTGTGCTTTGGCTCATGGCTGTTGCTGCCTTGCGCTTTTGTGGCAGTGGGAGGTGGATGGGGTGTGCGTGAGTGTTGTGCACGAGTCGGCATCCCTCCCTGATGGCATGTTGTGTGCGCGCCCAAGCCCGCGCGGAGGCGAAGAGAGCGGTGAGAATGGGGAAAAAGTGATGTGCCGCGCGCAGTCGCACCCGCAGCTTATCACTGTCATTCTGAGTGGGAGGACAGCGGCGCGACGGTGTCAATGCTCGGAAGTGGATGGACGGAAGAACACTGAGACCATTAACAATCATTTTGAGCGTCTCGCTTGCACGCACGTGGTAAACAACACCTTACTTTTTGCGTTGTTTCTCTCTCTCTCTCTCTCCCCCCCCCCCCCCCCCTTTTTTTTTTTTTTGCTGCGTGCACGCAGGGCGTACTGCTGCGGGGCCCATTAGGTTCCGTTTGAAGGCACTGGGATACGTGTGAGTGGGCGCAGAAACACGGCGTTTGGGTGAGTGAGCTTTTCTGCGTCTCCGCGTGGTCACTGGGTGGGACCAGTAAGCGTTTGATTTGCGTGTGTGCCCGCATTTTTTTTTTTATACTTTGCTTTTGCTTTTATTGTCTTCATTTTTTTTTTTTGCTACCGATGTCTTTATATTGACTGGGAGATCACATGTGTGTATTGGTGGTTCCCACCTCTTGTTTCAGGTGTTTTTTTTTTTTTGCACCAGTCCTTCTGCTCGCCGTATTTCATGCAGCTGCTGATTTGTTGTTGTGATGGCTGTGTGCTCTACGGGAGGAAAAAGCAAATAGACACGAGAGGACCATGCAGGCAACGGCAGCGGAGGACCGCCATCTTCCTGTGTTGCTTTGTGTTAACCCTCATGTCCGTCTTCTTTTGTGTTTCCCGTGCGGGGAAGGCTGGGGAACGATGTCTATGAGCCCACACACACTTCAGTTCGTTAAGCCTTTCCTTTGATTTTGTAAGTGCTGCGATGCATTGCATGTGGAATGTGAGGCGTAGGAGACGCGGCGGGTGCAACTGTGACGAACACAACGCGAGGTAAAAACTGAGCGAAAAGAGGCGGTAGATGTGTCGTCGTGCAGTGCCGTTTATCCTTTTGGGTGCGCCGCCCTCTCTGGTTTATTGTGCCTCCCCGTGACTGTGCTTCTTTGCCTCCTTTTACTCTTGTGCACCTCCCGCGTTGTTGCGGCGACGTAATGACGAGGAAAGCAACATACACGGACATAACTTAAAACGACATCCATCAGACGAAGCGTGCACACACCACTTCGGAAAGAACGTAATAACTGCTCAGTACGCTAATCCACGCCGATATGGAGGCGAAGGCTGAGATACCAAGGCAGAGTGACGTCTCTCCCAAGGAGCTGTCCGGGACACATGTCGACACGGCCCAACAGGGGGCTGCCGAGTTTGACGACAGGGAACTCGGTGAACATGGAGCTGATCATCATGATGGGCACCACGACGCTGAGCCAACTGGCGCGCGGAAGGAGGGGAGCGCTAGGGCTGCCGAGTTTGACGACAGGGAGCTGGATGAAGCTGAGGCCAAGGAGTTGGAGGGGCATTCAGAGGCCAGTGATGCCCCGCCGCCTCGCCGCCTCTCCGTGGGGTCTGTGCTCAATGCCATTGAGGAAAAGGAAAAGGAGCTGAAGGAGCTGGAGGCACGCGAGAACTCCGTTGAGGTGCAGCTGCAGGTGTACAGCGAAGTAATTGGCCTGCGCAAGGAGCTTCAGGTTGTCAAGAAGGAAACGGAGCGGATGAGGCGGCAGCTTGCTGATGTCGATGAGCTGGTAGCGAAGTA